TAATGAATTCTCGAATAATGCATGCCAATACTGCATCTGATATGTCGTTAATGAAAAAACCCAGCAATGTCGAAAAATGGAAAATCAATTGTATTAAAGTTTGGTTCAGCAATCATGCCCAAGAGCTTATCAGTTTTTTGAGTAGGACCCCCGTTTTGAGCGCGGCATAAATCAAAAAATAGGTTAGAAAAACCAGGACGCTTTGCAAATAGGTCATGAAAATGAAAGTCAAAAAAAGAGGATAAAAGAAATGGAAAAAGGACCTTAAAGGCCTTACAATAGAAAAGTTCTGATCTGTTGGACAGATTNCTAGAAAGAAAGGAATGAAAGTGCTGCTGGAATTACTAGAATCTTGAACATGTCGAGATCTTGAGAATTCGGCAAGTTCTCATAGAATCGAAAAAAGGAAAAAAAACATCCGTCTAGCACACTGAAAGGCTGAAACTGACTGAAAGTTGAACTTTTGGTTTACATTAATTGGAAAGAATTAATAGAGATATTTATGGAGATTGTTCTTCCTCATCCCGGCTGCCGTTGATAAACATTGGAATTTCCTCAGGCGAACATTCCCTTGGCGCCTCCGAGTCGGGTATCCGGTTGTTTCTGACATCTTCAATATCAAATGGACGTTGAGGAATTTGAAGTCCATCTGGTATCTTGCCCTCGTGGTTCTCCCAATACGGATCCTCAAAAATTCAATCAATTCATACGAGAATTTCGATGGATACTGGTTGGCGCGTGGATGTTTGGTTTTCGCTTCAGCAGACATTTTTTCCGCAGCTTGGCAGAACTCATACCAAACAGGAGGTTCAATCCGAGGATCGCGGGGATGGCAGCGGTTGAAGATATCACCACGATCCGAGTGAGCAGTAATTCGTTTCTTGACCAAGTAGAAGTGCTCATTAAAAGCGGCTATTGGATTCAAAACGAGCTCGCCAAGTTCAATGAGGATATCCAACCCAACATCAATGACGGATCTTCCAACCGAGTTGATTTCAGCGGCAACCATGAATGGGTCGATTTTCACAACTTGAACGTTAACCGGTAGTTTGTTCTCCTTGCCCTGGCATTTCATGTACAGTTGTGGAAGGTGATAAATTTCCAAATCGAGGATGTCGTCAGCCTTCCAAATTTTGTTCAGTTTACGAAATTCTTTTGTTTTCTCCATTATCTTCAAAACTGTTGCTTCCAACTCTTCGTCACACTCTCCATCTGAAAATCAAATGCCATATAAAACCGGTCGATAAGATATACGTCATAATGATAGAACCACCCCATTTTTTGAGGTTTTCAGAAAAACTAAAAAACTAAGACAAAAACGGCTGATGCCATTTGATTCAGCATCCCAAAAAACCTATGTGTCCCCTGAATCAAGTACCAGTAAAGTTTATTAGGACTACAGTAACCAAAAGTCTGTCTGCACACAGCGCCATAATGATAGGACCACCCTGGAAAATGAAAAATCTCCAGTTTTTTTTTGAGAAATAAATTGAGAATAATTTGTTGGAATTCGTTAAAATAGTTTTTAAACAGTATGTTTTGACAGTCTACACAAAAATTGATGTCTCTATTCAACTTTGAGAAAAAATTATTTTCAGACATTTTCGTCATTTTTTGGGTTTTTGGAATAAATCTTGAATAACTTGGCTCCTGGGTGGACTGTTGCGCTGAAACTGATAGGAAATAGTTTTGCAGTGGTCTGCAGTGTGTATTGATTGTTTTCATGCTATTCTGAGCCGCTGTTCCTATTTCAAACAAAACTGAAACTTCGAAAACAAACCTTGAAATTCGGTGATTCTGATTTTCTTCAAAAAACTGGATTTCATAAGTAAACATCATTTTTCCGTTCAGAATCATAGTTTCAAAGGCAATTTTGGTAATTTAGAACATCTTTGAAACATTTTGCACACCTTTGAAACATTTTCAATGTGGAATTTTTTTCAGTTCAAAACTCGAGTTCAGTTATGAGCTACCAGAGCTCATGAATGCCTTGAACAATTATCACATGATCAGTAGCACATTCAAGATGCTTTTTATTAGTTCCAGCTCGAAATCATACCCAGGAGCCAAGTTATTCAAGATTTATTCCAAAAACCCAAAAAATGACGAAAATGTCTGAAAATAATTTTTTCTCAAAGTTGAATAGAGACATCAATTTTTGTGTAGACTGTCAAGACATACTGTTTAAAAACTATTTTAACGAATTCCAACAAATTATTCTCAATTTATTTCTCAAAAAAAAACTGGAGATTTTTCATTTTCCAGGGTGGTCCTATCATTATGGCGCTGTGTGCAGACAGACTTTTGGTTACTGTAGTCCTAATAAATTTGACTGGTACTTGATTCAGGGGACACATAGGTTTTTTGGGATGCTGAATCGAATGGCATTAGCTTTTTTTCTCTTAGTTTTTTACTTTTTCTGAAAACCTCAAAAAATGGGGTGGTGCTATCATTATGACGCGCACTGTACAAAAACTTGTTCTAAGTGGATTTCGACCATTTTTAGGAGGTTGAAACTGGGTTGTCAAGTTTCTGAACACTGTGAAAATTCCGGAGGGTGTAAAACAGACCTAGGTGAGAACTTTGAAATCTCAAAATTTTTCCGATTTCACGAAGACACAATTTTTTGCATTCATGTGGATGGCCGGGCCGGGCCGGCCCGCTTGCCTCAAGACCCTCGACCCGGCGCGCTAGCCGGCCCGGCTCGCTCGGCCCGCCTAGGACAACTTTCCGAAAATGTTACTTTTCAAATGTGCCAATATATTTTTAATAGCACAAAAATTAATTCAAATGCATACAACCATCCGAAAAAATCAATTTAATTGAATTTTTAGCAAAAAAATAAAACTTCATTAAGCCAAGGATGATATTGTTTTTCTAAAAACGACATCAAAACAGTTTTTTTTTTGACAGAATTGTCCTCTAGTCTGGATTTTTATTTATTAATGAGAAAAACCATCTTGAAAAATGATGATTTGCTCTAAAATTTCAAAATTTTCAAAAAGCGGGCCGGCATGTGTAATTTTTTCCGGCCCGGCCCGGCCCGCTTTCAGAAAAGTCTCAGCCTGGCCCGGTCCGGCGCGCGGGCCGCCCATCTTATCCACAAGTATGATTTTTTTAAGTCCCAAGTATCTGCTTTCTGAAATTGAGTTAATCAATATTCAGAAAATTAAACGAAATGCGAAAGAGTCCCAAAACTACACACACAAAAAAGGGGAATCTATATGAAAGGGAAACTAATGTCTTGAAGATTTCCTCTCAAACGAGAATTGATTTTTCATGTTTCTTACTCTTCTCGCGAATAATGTCAAAATTCTGAGTTTGGATTCTCTGAGAACATTAAACCCACTCAAACAAACACCTGTACAAAAATTATCGGAAGTTTCTCATTTTTCAGCCATTAGCCTAGTTTTGAGGGACTTCCTTTTTTGCCCGCTTTCAGTACAAAAAGGAGCCAAAAAAGGTGTCTTTCAGAAATCGGCAAATATCTGAAAAAATAGGAATTTTCACAAATAATTATGTCTTTTCAATTTCAGTCTGTTTTACACCATCGAAAGTTTTCTAAGTGCACGGAAATTTGTTTGCCAAGCTCCAGGCTCCAGAAAAATCCTTCTGACTGTATTTAATTACTCTAAAAGTGCGTAACTCACCACTGTCGACATCTTCTTCTCCTGAAACTTCAAACGAAGAATTGGATTCAGGGGCAGTCTCATTCTCATCCAAATCGTTATCACTCATTGGATCTCCAAGGTTCGCCTCCTCTTCTTGATCTTTCTCAACAAGTTGACCGATTGGCATATCCTAAATATTATTTTTTGAAGACATTCCCTTGTAAACTCTTACTTCTCCAAATGAAGCTTTTTCAGACATGCTCAAGCGAGACTCATGCTTTTCAGCGTACATATACTCAATGTTCATTTTATAAATTTCAAGAAACGAGTAATCCTCATCATGCCTAACTTTCCTCCGTCGGACACGTTTTCTTCGGGGGTCGCTGATTCTGAGAATTCTCCGTCGTTCTTTAGTTTCCTTTGCCTTCAGGCGCCATGGTGGTAAATCGGGAACTTTGAAAATTCCTTCATCGGGTTGGAATGGTATGATGTTTGCGCTATGCAAGTCTGTAGGGCGTGCTATGTCAGAGATTGTCTGAAAAAAGAATTCATGCAAGATAACTTAACCATGCGGGATATTGTAAATACCAAAAAATAGATGAAAAATATACATTCTCACACGGGAACCTCTCCATATGTTACCCGGGGATTCTGATGAAACTTATGCTAAATAGAAATACACAGGCTATCTAAAAAACCTCGAAGTTATAGCGGCCCTCGTGAAGGTCTATTCAAATGGCGAGGCATTTTATGATTTTTCGTGAATTCGGAGTCGGGACAGTTTGAGCAATCATAACTCCGTTCATTTTTATGGCAGACGTTCAACTTTTCGTTATTTAAAATGTGATAAACTGACAAGCGTTTATGTCAATTGCACCTTTGCTCCACTTCAATAGGAAAGTCAGAAAAATAGAAAATATGAAAATTTCGAGTTCCAACAAATTCAAAAAATGCCGAGTTTTCTAGATAGCCTGTGTACTACTATTTAGCATAAGTATCATCAGAATCCCCGGGTAACATATGGAGAGGTTCCCTTGTCAAACAAAAATGCACTCTCACCTCATTCACATCAGACATTTTCCAAAAATTGTCGATTCAGATAGTTTGCCACATCAACCTGAATAACAATCAATCACAAAGGAATGTTGAGTAAATTAGTTCGGAATGTTGGACGGTCAAAGAGAAAAAAAGGAAATTGTGTAAGTCCACAGTACACAGGTAGAAGGGCAGAGTCTAAACTTTTGGAGCCATAAAATTGATAAGAAAAAACGCAAATCAGACCATTAAAAGAGGCAAAATGCACCTAGTTGTCGAATTTTCAGCACTCTGTGATCGCATTAATAAAAATGAAATATTGATCAGTAGTCTGGTGATAAGATTTAAACAGAAGAGAACTTTTCCTCCTTTTCCATCATCAAGTCGTAAATGGGAGAAGAGTAGGGAAAACGGTGTTATCAGTGCTTAGTAGGCAGAAAACCAGGATTATCATGGTTATCAGTGAAAATTGGGCATTTCATTGAAAACGGGAAAACGTGAAAATTGAGAAATCGGGGTGGGCGGAGAGGGAGGGATGATATAAGCGTATCGTTGTAGACATACGGTATCTACGGCGACTCTCTGGAGACTAATTAGCGATTGTGTTGACCAGATAGTGTCTCAAAACTAATAATATGATACGATTTTTTTCAGAGACAGCTGTCTGTTCTCGAAAATACTAAAACATATATAGTCTGTGATAACTAACAGTAGTTTCTATACACCGTAGTTTCTGATCCAAAACAAATTTTTTCCCACTATACCCGACTACAAAAACAAATTCAAAAATGAAAATAAATTGAGCCCAGCCAGAAAGAAATGGACCTAAGTCTCCACGTAATTAGCTTCAACAAGAAAAATGATTCCCTTTTTTTCACGCCTAGAATAGGATATCCAAATAAATAATTGATACAATTTTGGCACGCATTGCTTTCTTCGCGGGGGACGCCTTTTTGCATCGTGTGTGCTAATCTTCTTTATTTTCTGCTAAGTGTGTGTGGTCCACGCCTCCAAGAAAAAAAAAGATGGGTGACGTAGAAGAAGAGCAGAGGGATACGGTAGTTCTTGGAAAATATTAAAGCTAGAGGATGTCTAAAAAGTTGGGTTTTTAATAGGAATAAGTGGAAGGAAATGAGCAAAATAAACAACAAATTCAAATTTTGGAAGTCTTAATAAAAGGGAATCGTATAGTAAGCTCTTCAAGGGACGCTGACAAATAACCTGAATAAAATAACAACTGTTATGAGAGCTAGGTTTTAATCAAAACAATCAAAAAACTCATTATAGCTGTTTTCAAAATTTTCTTTAATGTAAATTTTCGTAAAACAGCAGATGCCTATTCTCCCTAGTCGAATCGGGGGGGGGGGGGGCGCCGTGTCATCATTTGTACAACAGATATTTCGTTTCCCTCTCTTTCGCATACAGATAAAATGATACGGAAACGCGGTCGTAAATCAGAAAAGGTGTCATAATGAAGATTAACGCGTGATGGAGAACAACAGGTACCGATAGAGAGACAAATAGGGTGGATCGCGACCTTGGAGGTAAGAAGTGGACAGAAACAGAGGAGGGAAAAACGGAAATGGGAAACACTGTCTCAGTAGCAAACCTCAGGAATGTAGAGGAAAAACACACTGTAAATTGAGAAGTAATGTCACGCTTTTTTGGTAACTTGAATACATACAGTACCGGTCAGTAAGATATGTTCAAAACTATGCATGTACAGAAATGTTTGAAAATTTCTAGTTTTTCTTCTATTTGTTGATTTCTGAGAGACACTTGTTTTCTCATATTTTCAGTGCAAAAATAGGTAAATAAGGGATCTCTTTCAGATATCGGCAAAAAGCAGATAAACTAGGGGGTTTTCAAATATTCTCTACATGCAAAGTTTTTGATCTATGTCTGTTTTGAACCCTTCAATATTTTCAGATAGGTCAAGAACTTGACGAAATTTAAATTATTCTGTTGGACTTTAAGAATAAGACCTGCAAAATAAAATTACCTTAAGAATAAGATATTCTTAATAATGCACCTTGCAAAAAGATCTACAACAGCTTTTTGGTCGTACGCTTACTTGGTATGCAATTGTAAAAATTTTCCAAAAATCATTTTAAGTCTACACCAGGCTGACGAAGTTGCAACTGGAACTTACCGTACTACAACATTCTCTTATCTATCTTAACCGAGGTTTGTATACTTCAAACCTAAAATAAAGCGTGTGAGGAACAAGAGGAAGACACGGGGCGCCTCGAGCCGACGACCACCCTTTAGCGCCATCCTTGCATTCGCCCCCTACTCCCTTTCTCATTCTTCTCCGTTGCAGACAACACTTTCTCGCCCGCTCGAGACGTTTCTATGTCGAGCGCTCTCCTCAAATGATTTGTTCTTCCTGGAAAACGTATAGACCACCCGTATCGCATTGGAATACGAATATACATTGTGTGGCGAGGCAGAAAATTGAGATTTGCAAAATCAATGGGAGTAGGATATACACATATTTGTAGTGCCAAGGGCCCGGATGAGAATTCGAATATTAGTCTGGATAAATCGGAAATTGTGTGGACTTTAGTTTCTTCAAAATTCGAAATATTTTTCTCTGCAGTAGTTTCCAGTGTTGAATTCTTCGAAACTGAAATACTAAGGGAAGTTTGGAAAATCTAAAAAATTGAGGAAAAAAAATTGAATCTTATAATTTCAATAGTACTTCAGAGTGTTGTTTAACAAATTCAGAAGACATTCGGTAATTTTCAAAAAATGTCGCTACTCGATTCTTGTAAAATTCTTCAATTTCCAGAATTAATGTTCACCTATATTTTCTTGTATCTTTCATTAAATGTACATAACTTCTCCTTTTCCTATCTATTTTTGATACGTTTTTCAATGTATCAACTTTTTTGAATGCCTTTTGTTCTTATGTTAGTTTTCAGCAAACTTATTTTTCGATCTTTGTCCCCAAAACAATCAAACGAAAATGACGCAAATCACCGGGTTTTCAGATGTTTGCGGAGTGTAGATTTACTGACGCCAGAGAAATTATTCATTTTATTTCAAGACTTTTTTGTATTTTGCTTTCTGGGAAACTCTTGAAACTCTGAAATTATGATTTTTTCCAAAACAATTAACTTGAATTTTGACATTCAGCACAGTTATTTATTCACTGAATATCATGCGAGAGAACACATATAATCATAAAAGTCACAATTATAAAAATTATAGGATTCAGGAGAGAAGAAACATGCACCGAAATTGACGACATGGGTGTTTTTTCTTACGGTATTTCGAACTGGATTACAAAAGTACTGAATGGGAACTAATGAACGTTCATGAACAGTAACAGGAGAATGTGTGGAGGTATTATTCTTGTTAAGCGCCGATGAACCTTGTGGCGGAGTTTTTATTTAAAGGCGCATTGCCGGTCCTGAACAGGAAACAACTACGGTTTTTACAAATAACTGCATGCGCCTTAAACATTTCAATTTTTGCCTACTTTCCTCAGATTTTTTGCTTGTTTTCGTTAAATCTTTTCATATTCTCATTAAAAATCAGCTGAATTTCCTTATGAAGCAGGAAACTGCCTAAAATGAGTAAAAATTAGAAAATTCCGAAGTATTGTATTTAAGGCGCATGCAGTTGTTTGTAACAACCGTAGTTGTTTCCTCTTCAGGACCGGCTTTAAACAAAAACTCGGCCACAAGGTTCATCGGCGCCGAATAAGAATAATATGAAATTAATAAAAGAAATACAGTACCGTCTAAAATTCTACCTCTGAATTTTCAATTTTTGGAGCCTGAATAAGTTTTCGGAAAGTTATATCAAGTCAAATATAAAGCATCTCAGGAGTTCTAAAATTACCACTGAAGTTGGTGAAAACAGTACAACTTTCTCACGCAACGTATTTTTCCGACAAGTGACTGTAGAAAAAAAAATTAAATCACAAAAGTTGAGTTTGATATCAAATTTATAATCTTAGAATTTTTTCAGTCCAAACAAAAAAATTAAACTTATTTTTGAGGCACCCAAAATTAACAATTTCCACTGAAATTATTATTTAGAGATAACATTCCAGCCATCACTGTATAATGAAATAGAATACTAACTATCAAATTGGTCTAGCGAGAAACACACAAAAGTATAATATCACTGAGCACACCGTGAAATTACAGAGATTGCAAAAGTACTGGATATAAATTGATATAAATTTAGGGACAGGAAACGAAAGTTTTGAAGAATTATGAAAATAATAGAAGACAGCAAAAAGAATAAAAGATAAACGATGAAATCAATATAACACGTAAAACTAAAGTTTTACACAAAAATACATACTTGTAACGGGCCGGGCCGGGCCGGGCCTTTTCCCAAATTTTGGAGGCCCGGCCCGGCGGGCCTGTCATTCCACAAGTTTTGAAAATTTTAAAAAACACATAAGAGGGGACCCTTATGTGATTTTTTTCGATCAATAAATTTTTCGAGTTTTTTTTGTTGATATTTTTTGATCAAACAGACAAACAATCCAAAAAGCACAAAAAAATATAGAAAATTGTATTGAGGGCTCAAAATTCGTTTCAAAATGACAAAATTTTTGCTACCGGGCTTTCCGGGCCTTGAAATTTTTTCAGGCCCGGAATTTTACAAGTATGCAAAAATACAATATTACGGAGCATACCGCGAAATTACAGATATTCAGTTGATTAATGTCTAATCATCATGTTCTTCTCCATCTAAACCTGCATTGTCGTTTTCGGCTGCTGCTGCTGCTTGTTCTCGACGAAATGCATCTCTTCGAGCATACTGCAGATCCAAAGCCTCTTGAGGGATGGGGATGACACTAACTCCAGGAACTTGCTCAGGGTCTGAATCGAATGGAGGGACTGTGAAGAGTTCTCGCATTTGTTCTTCGTGATCGGACGGACGTGTGGGCGCTTTTATTCCAGATGACTGGACTATCAATGGATGCATCCAATAAGGGTCTTCACAGTACTCAATCATTGCATATGAGAAGCCAGGAGGGTATTTGTCAGCTCGAGGGTGTGGTCCTGTGTGGGGAGATACTTTCTCATTTTCAACCATTTCGTACATAATAGGTGGATCCAGGACGGGTATCCGATCGTGGCATCGATTCAGATCTCTCACATAGGTTGCTCCGTTAGGAACTTTGATTTGCACCAAGAAGAAATGCGTGTTGAAAATATTAGCATCAATCGTTTCCCCTACTTTCATTTGACCCATCTCCTTAAGTATGGACTCGGCTAAATCAATCAAACTTCTTCCATCAGATTTCTTCATTTCTTCCGTCATATAATCTTTAACATCGAGAATTCTTTGAAGTGGTGCTGGATTCTCCCTTCTTTTGCTGTTTTTGTAAAACAGTTGGAGTTTTACTCTCAAGTTCACAAATGAAAAGAACTTTTTTTCATTGATTGTAATCGATCGAAACACGCTAGCGCTGCTCATATCCCAACCATCATTGGGTACGTTAATCAATGGGGTAGTAGCTGCATTTGCGGACACTAGCTGTGGAGTCCAGTATCCTTGAGTTGTCGGAGCTTCTGTTGGGTTATTTGCAGCTTCCGAAAATTGTTCTTCCTTGGCCGCTGGAGCTGCACATTCAATTTTCAATTTCTCTATACGTTTCCTTTCCAATTCCCGAACCACAGCTTCCAACTCCTCGTCGATCTCGCCATCTGAAATAGGGATAATGAGAAATAACTGAAAGAATCAGAACTGACCACTATCCACATCTTCCTCCTCTTGGATTTCATCTTCGCCCTCCTCAAACTCCTCTTCACCTTCTTCATTTTGGAAAATTTCTCCCTCTTCCATATTATCATCCTCATTTTCTTTTTCCTCATGTTCCACGGTAACTCTTCCACTGGATCGAGCAATCAAGTTGTTTATCGCCTATAAATTTTCATGATTATGGATCAACGACCTCACACTCACATTCTGAATTTTAACTAGTTTCACTTTATCTAGGTACGATTTATACTCGTCGATGATCACTTTGGGAATACTGACGCTGTGGTTTCCGATCACACAGATCATTCCTAGTTTCATAGGGAATAGCTTCAGCTGTTCGGTTTTTGCACGCTTGGCAAAAAACAGAAGCGCGTTAATATTGAGCGGCAGATGAATAGTTTTTGGCTCCCGTTTCCGTATTTTCTTCCTTAGTTGTCTACTCGCCTTGTATCTTTTGAAGTGAGCTGGTGGCAGAGGTTTTTTGAAGAGAGTGCCGTCATTCTCGATTTGTGGTAGGTTTGGAGCAAGAGCTTCCATACTGATAATTGGCTTTGCCTGTAATCCTACTTATTTGAGGTGTTCTGCTGATTTATATTTTCTCTTACCTTTGCCAAGTCAGTGGAAATGCTTTCAGACACTAACGTAATTTTGCAACTTTTAGATATTCTTCAAAGTGACAATTTCCAAGTAGTGATTACCTGAAAATGAACATTATTGGAGTCAAGTTGCAAAGATGGAAGAAATAAGAAAGTATAGGAAAATATGAGGATAAACGAAGTGGAAATGTTAGGAAACAAAGCTAATCGGAGTGGAAAAATTCACATTGGGTTTATAGAGACAGCCAAGCTGATAATGATAAAAAGTAAACACTAACAAGATCATTAGGAAAGCTAGTGAAGCGCATGAGAAGAACAACAAGGAAGAAGGTGAAACTTTTCATAGTGGCATGTCTTGATGGTTCACTGATAAGCATCGTTTCCAGCTGTCACTTGCGAAGAAAAAAGACATTAATTTTCCATCTCAGAGCACAAGCAGCGGGAAAAAAGTCAATGTCATTTTGAGGACACGCACAGTTGTTTAGAGAAGCTAGAAGGTGAACAGATTGAACACGAATCAAAAAAAACTAAAACATTTGTTTCAGATAGTTTAGTACTTTTTGCAGTAACTGTGGAGACACTGCTGATGATATTTGAATGTGCATAGAAAAGATATTCACGGGAAATGTTTAGAGCCTATCCTATTCTGACAATTTGAGCTCAATTATCTCTGTTGCTATGAGAAATATCAAAAATCTGCCAACTGATAAATTATTGATGATATTACGATGAATACATTATCAGTTGAAGATTGTTCTATATCTGTTACAGGAATCAAGATATGTGGGCTCAAAGTGCAAGCACAGGCTGGCCTCCTATTAGAGCAAATATACATATAATTCCAACTTCAAGAATATTTGAATTACCATAAGTATTTGAACAGAAAAAAAAATAGAACACCTTGAAGTTGACTGTCAGAAAGACATTCTATTGGGGTGAATACGGTAAATTTGTAATGAAGTTCTCTAGACTTTTTTGGATTACGGTACGTTAAAGAATTAGATATTTTTATTATGCAGATTAATGAATTATTTCAAACAATCGTTCCCGTGGAAAAAACTCACTTCGTAATCTGTTTCGTTACTTGGATGAGATATCAAAAGTTAAAATATTATTTGAGTCCTTGCGACGCAGCTAGTTAGCAGGTGGAAGCCTTCGACACCCGTTTCTGGTGGGCGTGGCCTAAATAGAACTAATTCTAAGCAACCAAAGATCATAGTGCTAAAAAAGAGAAAGTTTTGCGAAGCACATGTCTTTCTCCCGCAAAACAATTCAAGGTTGCTTGAATAGTAGATCCTAGACACCAATCTGTCTCGCTTCTTCTCTATATCTAATCTTTGGGAGGAAGGACCAAAACACCTAAGGACCTCGCTGCGCAAAGATGAAGGTCACGCGGTATACCGCGAAAATGTGACAACTATACAAACTAATATAAGAAAGAAAAATTGGGTAACACAATGACTCTAATGTGTACATGAGCGGATCAGCTATAATTCAGCCGTCGGAAAGACATTCAATTTCCGCCAGAAAAGAAAAAAAAACGAACAAAACTGAAAACAGAGTGAGGGTTTCTCATAAATAATTGGCACACTTAAAACGCTCTACTTGTTCTGTTACATCTAGAAGTGTGAGCTCTCGTGTTTTTTTTTATTATGGGTTGTTTTTTTTTATGAACAGATGATTATGATAGAGAGAAGAAATAGGAAATCAGTGAAAAAGATTGCCAAATATCAGATAGAAAAGATTAGTTACCGTATTCGCTCTAATACAATAAGCCGAGCCTATGCTTGCACTTTGAGCTTAAATATCTCGGTTCCTGTAAAAGATATCGAAAATCTGTCAACTGATAAAATATTGGTGGTGTTATGAAAAACGTTTTATCAATTGACAAATTTTTGATGTCTCTTATAGAGATTGAGATAATTCACCTCAAAGTGCAAGTATAGGTCGGCCTTTTATAAGAGTGTTTAGGGTAATAACGAGCAGAAAGTCAATGAAAAAATTTGCTCTAAAAATTGTTCGCCAAGTAGGACGCTAAACTAAATGAGAAAATCATCAGTTGCTCAACCGGGAAGGAAGAAAAAGTACATGACAGCTGGAACAAACCAACCTCACACGAGTGCTCACTGTTCTAAAAGCAGCTGTTCTAAAATTGTTGTATACTTTTCGAAATGTCCACAGAAAAAAGCCTACAATCGTTATTTGGTTATGAATCATGTTCTGGAGAGATAGAAATCATTTCACGTCGAAATCCTCCAAGAAATAGTTTCTCTTGTTACTAATTAGTTTGAATTCTATCAAAATTATCATCTTTTTTTTTGTTGTCCACATGCCATCGTGTGTTTGTTGAAAAATAAATTGGACTCTTTGTGAGAGTTCATTGTAAACAGAAAGACTAGAAAAAAGGGAGTGAAAACGTGCAAGCGGAGGAAAAAAAGAGGTAGAAGCGGGACAAAACAGATTACCGTACAAAGTACACCCCGGATAATCGTTTTCAATTAAAACCAACAACAAAATTTGTATTTTTGGTGGCAATTTGCGCTAAATAATAATAGACGAATTTTTAGATAAAAAAGTATCAAAGATCAGATAAGAAATTGAAAAGTGAACTTTTTGAACTTCAAAGCACTAAAATGCGTTCTGATATGTTGATTGAATGAACATCAACATTTCAGAATAAGAAATTAATGTGTTTAGTGTTCATCAAATTTCTAGCTCATAAATATCTGAAGCTTATTTCCAGGCTTTTTGAAAAGTCTAGGATGGGGCCAATCCTTGATATTTGCATTGAATTCTGTCTAGAGTTAAATGGGTCATGAATAATAAAAAGCATTTCTGGAAACGGCTACTTGAAAAACCCACATGTCGGTAATATATGAGTATGGGCGTTATAGCCGGCTCACGAATTTGCTCTCAATAAATTTAAGACAATATTGAAGGATTAACTGAAATAGGATGTTAAAGTCAGCTCTTGCTTTCAGAGAAATTAATCCGAAAACAAAGATTAACTAACTAGTAAGAAGAAAAACCCGAGACAAGTTTCTTTTTCTCCGAACAACCCAAACCACTCAATAAGCTTCCATTTTCTATTGAGATTACCTTTTTTGAGGCGCCACAAATAGTTTTTTCTTCGCAGAATCTCAGATCTCGTTTTAAAAAAGTTCAACGGAACTTATCTCTCAGGAGAAAAAGAACAAAAATAATCAACCGAGACACGAAGCAAAGGAAAAGAAGAATCAAGGAGGCTGACCTCGATAAAGAGATTGAGTTGGCTAACGGAAATCAGTGAGAAAGCGACAACTGCAATTTTTTTTATTTTAATGATGAAAATGTGTGAAAAGGTTTAAAGAAGTAGCGTATCTCACTATTTTCTATCGCTGGATTGAAATATCGTAAACCCAATAATAGAAGGCCACCGAATCATTATGTTTGAACTCCTATATCTCGGTTTCTGTGGAAGATATCGAAACGTAGTCCACCAATAAAATATTTTTGATGTTATGGTGAACATATTGTCAGTTGAGCACTTTTTGATATCACCGACAGGAACCGAGATATATGGGTTAAAAGTTACCGGTTTTGATGGCTTTCTAGTAGAGTGGTTATGGTAATTTGATCACCAAGCTCTTATCCTGGAAAAAAAAGGAATTTTTAGATGAGGAAACAAATTTTGTAACCCAGTTTAAAGGGGAAACAAGCTACAGTAATCCAGGCCACTATGGGATTATTTAGGATTTCTATGATACCTAGAACCTCTATAGTAGTCTTGGTATCTGTATCCTGTCCCCAAAGAACAATTTTCAACACACTCACCACAACGAAGACACTTGAATAAGTGGTTATTAACCACTGCCTATCAGTTGCTTGTCACTTCTATTCAGCGAGCCACCAAAACCTCGTAAAAAACGACGAAAATGAGGTTTGAAAAGCAGAAGACGCAAGCGGGGACACACACAGAGACACACTCTCACTCACTTGCTCGCTCTGCTCATTTTCGACGTTTTCTCCGCCCATTTTTTGTTTCGAGCACTGGCACACTCCGCTGACACCAAATGCTTACTTCGTTTTCAAGACCTCCCAAGAAGGCGCGTGAGAGGTAGAGGAGAGAAATGAGTGTAAACTAACGATGTTCAAGGAAAATGGGAAATGATTCGATTGTAAGAAAAATGATAGAAAGTAACACTTTAATCATCCTTTTATACAAGAAGAAAACATCACAACACCGGTTCAGCCACAAGTCTATGATGAATGATGGAATTATCAAGTAATCTTAGGGCGAAAGTGAACAAAGAATGTATTGGGAAAAGAGATAAGATAAAAATGAAAAAATTAAGTTTGTACTTTTCCTAAATCAAATTTTTGACGAGACTATAGCTAGGCTAGTGCGCCTTTTCCGCGTTTTCGTTGCTCGGTTCCTCACTGTCGAATGTCTTTGCTCAAAGGCTCACGACAATCTACATAGTTAATTTTCAAGTTTTCCAAAAAACACCGCAACAATTTTCCAGCCCGACCTCTTTGATCTACCCTTCAGCTCGAAAGCCGCCCGCCTTGTGTCTACCTCTGCCCTTTTTTAGTACACTAATTTTTCTCTCTCCTTTTCAGACAAGTTTTCTCACCGATATTCTTTCTTTCACTGTTTTCTCATACACGCTTACCACCTATGTCAGGTGTTTTTTGTTCTTCAACTAAGCGGTAAGACGTTTTTTGGAAACTAATGAGAAAGATGGTTTTGCATCCATCGTTTTTTGTGTTATATATTATTTGTTGGGCAAAGAAGAAGATACAGAAACAGTTGGAAGCAAAAAACCGTTTCGATGTCACATGATCCGTTGTCAAGATGTGATAACACGGAAGTTTTGTTGGTTTTCATCATTTCTGAAAACGACGAGGTCATAGGTCAGATGTCCTCTGAGTTTTGCAGGCTTCAAATTCCAGTTGTCGGTAATTAGATCATATCAGAGCTTGGAACTTTCATTTTTTCAAATTTACTGTTTAGGTACTGTAGTTCATACAAAATCGAGTTCGATTGATTCGAGTAATCAAATTTAAAAAAATCGCAGTTTTGAAGTTCTGAGCTCTGCATTTTCTTCGTTTCTCAGATTTGTTGTCTACCCTGGAAAAATAAAAATGTTCAGAAACGTGATTCCCATTACCATTTTCAATTTCTGCATTGTCACAAATATATAATTCCCACTAAATTGCAAAAGACAAAATTTTATGACAAAACCAGATTTTTTCTAAAAGTTTTTTATACAATATTTTAGTTTCAAAACTCATTAAACCTATTATCATACATCACTCGCATCTTTAGCACAGTTTCTCAGAGACCCATACAGGTTTTTCAACATCATGAGGAGGAGAGACAGTAAAAAATTCATTGGATTCAAATTTGAAAAATTGAAAAATAAAAGATCACTAGGAAATGAGGTAGAATAGAAATCTGATGAGACCGGGTGTGTTGGAATAGAAGAGTAAACAGAAGACGTATCAAGAGAGACGTATCACTAGTTTCCAGAGAATGATGTGGACGGTTCCTGGTTAGCATATTTTTTCTTGATATCGATACTGTTTTTGGTAGGCAGAATTGAAGAAGCAGCTTGGCAGGTGGAACTCTTAGGGACCTGGAAAAAAAAGATGATGCTACACGACTTGAAGAAACGTATGATTTTTGCAAATGATAAGGCAGTGGCACGATTCTTACTAGCTCTGATCATGGTTCAAACGAGATTGGTCAAATTCCGAAACAGATAACCATAATTGATACCAATTTTAAGAGACCCGGATATTTTTCACAAAGGAGTTGAGACAGCAAACAGTTTGAGGAACAGTCTAGGGAACGGACTCGCGCCGAACTTATGGCCATCGGTCGACAGCCGGTTTGCCGCTTCCGTAGCTCAGCCGGTAACGGCACTGTGCACTTGAAATGTTTCTCATGAGTTCAGCTTCTCATGGGGTTGTCTAAAAAAATCTGACAAAACTTCTTTTGGCGTCTTGCCTCGATCAACTTATTGGGAAATTTCGTTTCATGATTCCAGATAAATATTTTCCAGAAATCTACCCATCGCTTCAATATCAATTATTTGAAAAACTCACAATTGTTCCCTTGCTGTTCCCTTTTTCCTTTGGCGGAGTTACAGCCTCGACGCATCTCTTCTTCGGAGCTGGTGGAGCGAAATCGTCGTCAACAGACATCATCGAACAGAGGGCAATAACCGCTTCAAGCTCCGCATCGGACATTTCAGCATACTTCTCCGGTTGATTACAAACGTTCGTCGCCACTTGCTCCTCAACAATAGATTGTCGAGACGGAATTGAGTGTTGATGCATTTTGCTGCTGAAAATACGGTCTTTTATATTTGAGAAGCTGAGAAAGAGAAGAGGTGACACGAAGAAGGAGACGATGCCATGCAAAAATACGCAAACAAAAATAGAGTGATTTACAGGAAAAATTCTACGCAAAATACCATTTTTAATACCGGCATGTGTCAAAAATCAATAAAAAGTTGAGAAACCTGATATACGCTACCATATAATTTTTAAAAATTCATAAAATATTACTGATCTACTTTTTATGTAAAAAAATTCTCTGAGAGGATTAAATAGTGAAGAACTGACATAAGACGTCGCAGTCTGCATGTGTGCGTAGCGGTGTTTGCGGTGTGGGCGACAGCTGGCTGCGCTGTGTTTCCCAAACAAAAAACATTTTTCTTTTCAGGTTTCCAACATTACCGGCAAGAAATATTCTTCTTTTTGGTCATCAGAATTTTTTCAGAAACAAAACAAAATTGGAAAACGAAATTTATCAGTGAAATCGATGAATCTACGCCATATGTATCAGACAATTTGACGGGTATTTCATTTATAACAAAAAATGAGATAAAAAGTTCGAAAAAAGGAGAGTCAGAAAAGAAACGAATATGACCGGCATACAATAATAAAAGGATTTCGGAATGGGTGACAGCAAAATCACAAATTACTCGTTAAAAGAGAGAAAAAACAAAGATGATCGAGAACTCCATTGGTTTATAATTATGAAGAAGATGGGATAGCAGGATTCATTGGACCAGTGAAAACCGAGCTTGACTCCAAATTTCCGTCGTCCTCTTCCTCTGATCCGGTTGGAGCCTGAAAGAATGCCAATGAGCAAAAATGCAGTCTGATTAGTTGAAAAACGTGAAGATTCCAGTTAAAATGGCAAAGAGAAGACAAAATTACAGGCGTCAGCTTTTCTTCTACCACAGTAGTTACTGAATCTGCCACGTACCTCAATCTTCGAACGCTTCTTTAGAGATTCCTGTCTATCGCTAGCTTTAGAACTTCTTTTTGGGGCCTTTGGGACGGCGGTCCGTGAATTCCCTGAGTCTTCCATCATGCACAAAGCGGCGACGGTTTCAGTTTCAGCATCAAGTCGGTCGACGCTGTCTTCAGCTCCGTTTGAGTCGGTGGCGGCTTCATTGTCTTCAGTAGCTTGCTGCAAAATTGAAATGCGTGTACTTTTGTATGCAAATTGATACTCTAGAAAAATTTGGCGAATTTCGGACACTTTTCAGAGAAATTGGGCAAGCACTTGGCTAGCTAACGTCGAAAGTCTGGGCAATTGGCTTGCAAACGCCCGAATTTTGGGCATACCGCAGCCTTGTCCAAGACCCACGTTCACATGGGCAGCTTGACAAATGGATGCTCAACTCTTTCCCAGAATTTGTAAGAATCAGTTCCTCTTCTTTATCATACATTCGCTGAAACAAATCAAAATCTCACCATGTCTCCGCTTTCCTGACAAGACGCTTCTCTAGAATTTTCCGCATTCTGAGCACCATTGATTTGATTGGCACTTTCCTCGGCTGATCGTTTTTCAGCCCACTGAAAAATAAATCAGCGTTTTTCTACCTTTTCCTTGAACAAAACTGACCGCTCGTCTCCGTTCTATATGTGCTGCAACAAGTCGTTGTCTCTCCATTTCATCTACCTCCACGAACGCCTGCCTGATCTCTGGCGAAAATTGAGTTTCATCGAATGGATATCCAAATCTTCGAGCTTCTTCTCGTTTCCATACCGGTGTTTGGATCAATTTCCATTTATATAGTTTTCTGGCAAGTGGCATGACGAAAACCGCGATTCCAAGTTTCTCAGCCGGTTTTTTCGTTCTTTCCAGCACTTTGACGTACACTTTCAACACGTCTGCTTCAGTTTCACCAAGGAGATATGACATATTAGACCTGAAATTAGGAAGGAAAATTTTTGGAAACTGAACGGGTCAATGATTTCGAAAATATGCGCACAAGAACAGGTGCGAGATATCGATTTTTGCAAAGAAGAGTGCGCAAGAAAATGCTTGGGGCACGCAAAATAACGAAGACGAATGATGCGTGTGTGTGTGTGTGTGTGCGCAGAGTGTTGTTCGCCTGCCGCGAATATAAGATCTCTCCTTTTTTTCCTCTCTGTCTATGTCTGAACCCTCTCGTCGCAGGTCAAATCCATGAATATGGGTGTGCGATTAAGGAAGACATTGGCCACTGTTTGAAAATTTGAAAGTTTCATGCAGGAAAAATACACTTTTCTGTATTCTTTTCACAACACATTAAAATAAGGCATTTTAAGACAAATTAATTTATTTAAATTATTGGGAGAAAAACTCGTTACGCACTATTATTATAAAAATAAATTATAGGTTGAAACGAATCGATGAATTGATCCTCTCTTTTTCAATATATCAGAATCGAGTCTTATCAGTCGATCTCATATAGTAGAAGTAGCACTCATTCCACTCGGCTCTGTGCTCTCGTTTGTTGAGCATTCTGACAATCAGCTCCCAATCATCAGCAAGGGTTATTTCTCGCTCCATGCGAATTCTCGCCAACGGCTCCAGGATAGGACCCAAGTTGGAATTGTAATGACGTCCGAGGAAACTGTAGAACAAGTCCTGCAGCATACAAGTTGTAAACTGATCCGAAATTCTTATGTTGATGAATTTGAGCACCAGCTCGTCACGGTCCCGAGTGGTTTCGTCGCTTTCAGAGAAGTCCCTCACTGGGCATTCCGGCCAGTTGAACATTGGTGAGCGGTCTGAAAATTCGTGTTTTTTTAATGTTCAAATATACTTCTTAGATATGGAACTTTCGGCTTTATATGATTTCAGCGGTCCCTAGAGAAACGGTCCGCAGTGAAAACAGCGGTCCGCAATGAAAATAGCAGTCCGCAGGGAAAATAATGGTCCAAAAAGAAAATAACGGCCCGGAGCGAAGTTTGCGTTTGGGAATTCAGGAAAACCCTATAAATCCTGTTTTTATTGAATTTTCAATTACCAATCGAATTTTTATGTTGTTTTGTTGGTTTTTTTAACGCACGTTTGAAATTTCGTACTATCATTAAGATAACGTAATGTTTTTTATAACGGAGTAGTATTTAGAGAAAAAGTGATCAGCTTAGTAATAATTTTCGTTTGTTTCATTCTCAATGCCTTCATTTTGTTCATACATCTGTTC